AATATTCTTTATGCAACTTTATGATATGCGTATGAACCAATGCAAAAGAATAAGAAAAAGGTTAGTATACCCAGAAAAAGAATAAATAAATAACTAAGTAAATTTAAACATCACACAGAGTAAAAGGGATGAATCATATGCTTCTGGTCAATTCTAAAAGGGAAGAGTGACGGCTCTATCTATAGGTTAGGCACACTTAAGGTTCATTATATGCGATTTTAAGGTCAAAGTCTAAATGTTTCCAAACTGTTCCTTACATCCTTGTCCATCACAGACTAGTAAGGTACCCTAATCCTCACCCATTACAGGCTACAAACGAAAAAGGTTCAATTTGAGTGAGAGTATTTCGCTAGCCACTGCGGAGGCATTAGACCTCACGAAAGCAATAGGTACTTTACTCCCTCCTAGAGGGACGGAGCTCGGGTGTAGAGCTCATGTTATGCACATGCATATGAATGACATAATTAACAAGGTAAATAAACATGAATGAATAATAACACATATATACAAAGAGATTCAATTTTATTAGGCTTTTAGATAACACAAATTACTTGCTGACCTGACTCTCAAAGTCTCCAGTGGAGTCGCCAAGCTATCATAATGTTTAGATTCGGGGATCTATCGTTAGACATTGACTTTTAGGGAGTCGCCACCAATCTTTTTTATCTAGGTGCGATTGGCCACCTAAGAAATCTATCCTTTCAGGGAATACCTAAGTTTTAAGGGTCCCTAAAAGAATAGGTTCAGGTCTACTAATCAGAACAGGGTTCGAGAGTTTGATTACGTGTGAGAAAGGTTATAGCACCCTCACAACGCCCATTAAAAGATGGTACCAACTTAATTTAGTGTTATCCAATAAGCCTTAAAATTTTGCTAAGTAATTAACTACTGAAAATTATTCTCAATTGACTCTAATACTTTTAGCAAAAAATTAAGAAAATCTCATCACCTCAAGAGTATGCAAGAAAACTACTGTTTCACTTGCAGAGGCTCCATCGTCAGATTATTTAACATTAAAAAAAATAAAAAGAAAAAAATGATTGTTTTTGCGCAGGAAAAATTATTACTTTCAATTTTTTCCCAAAAATATTCTTTTGAAACTTTAATTTCGAGAAAAATTAATACTTTCAACTTTTCCTCAAAATCCCCTTTGAAAATTTATCTTTAAGGAAAATTGATACTTTCAACTTTTCCTCAAAAAAAACCTTTTTTTTTTTAAATTTATTTTTAAGAAAAATTAATACTTTCAACTTTTTCTCAAAAATATTTTTTGGAAAACTTTATTTAAAGAAAATAAAATAATAAAGCAAAATAAAAGTGAAAATAAAAAATAGAAAAAAAATAAAGAAAAGTAAAACAAAAATAAAATAAAGATAAAAAAATATTAAATAAACCTAATCTAATAATAAAAAAAAACAAATTAATTAATTAATTAATTTAAAAAAAAAATCTGAAGCGGCTCGGCTCGGCTTAAGGAAGAAAAACGGCTTAGAGAAAGCGACTCAAAATGTCTACTCGGCTCAGCTAACGGCTCGGAGAGACAGATCACGCGCGGGTCGAAAAACAGGTCGACACTTGGGTCGGGTCGGATCTTGACAAAACGCGCGGATCTTCTGGGTTATTTAACTCAAAAATGACATCGTTTTGGGATGGTATATAAGGCTGAATCCTTCATTTTTTCTGCAGACCGAACCTCCTCCCTCTCTCTCTTCCTTTCTCTTCTCCTCTTTCTCTCTAGAACACTCGAAGAACTCCGATTGAATATTCACCGGAATCTGAGTTTTTCGTTGAAATCTGGGTTTTTCGTCGAAAGTTCATCAAAAAATTGATCAATTTCTGAAAATGTTACCGAAAACTGGGAAGTTGGTCGAAAACTTCAAACTTGGCCGAAATTTTCGTCGAAAAATTCAACGTGCGTCGAAAAATTCACTGAAATCTGGAAATTTTCCAAAAATTTCTAGAAAAAAATTTCGTCGAAAAATCTCCAAAAAAATTTTTCCTGATTCCTAAAGTTATTCTAACGCCTCTAAACCCTTTTTAGCCTTTAAATCTCTTCTTTATGCCTTTTTCTCTCAACCAGTAGTTGTTTTTCTCTTTGTTTTCTGTGTGTTTTCTTCTGTTCCCGAGGATCCCTTTTATAAAGATTGATCAGAAGAGTTTCTGATCAATCTCAATTCCTCTTTGAATCGGGATTCAATCATTGAATCCAACATTGACTCTTCTGATTGAATCTCAATCCAATCTTCAGCTGGATGAATCAAAAAAATAAAAAAAAATCAAATAAAAATATTAATGAAAATAAATCAAATAAATCAAAAAAATTAACAGATAAATTAAAATTAAATAATAGATAAATTATAACATATAATCTGATATACATATAAATATTAACAGAAAATAATAATAATAATAAAGATATATATATTAATAAATAGTAGTAATGAATAAATAAATACATAAAATAAAAATAAAAGAAAAATATATATAAAACCAATAATAATAATAGAAATAAAAATAAAATAAAAATGTAAAATACAAAAATAAAAAAAAATAGACTTACCTATTTGGACCAGCCCAATTGATCCGGGCCCGGACCAAATTGGGTGTCTACAAAAGTCTTACAGTTTTTTTTCACTCACTTTGGATGTAGCATTTAACTCTTGAACTTTCATTTGGTGATCATTTTAATACCAATCATGAAGATCTTATCCAATTTGTGATGTATTATTCATTTTAATTTGAAAATCTTATGATTGTCTTATAAAAAACATATCATAAGTATAAGGTTAGATCTCTAAATAATATATATCAATATTATTATTATATTTATATATATATCATATCATATCTTCATATTTCTCAATATAAGATTGGGGAGATTATAATGTAAGATGACGTCTTTGTCTATAATTAGATATTGAGATTCTAGACATAACTTTCATTGTATAGCAATTAATTCCTAAAAAAGCTTAATACTAATTAAGAAGACTCGCAATTAATTTTTTAAGTATTATTTATTTTATTTAAAAATTTTGATAATTTTATTTCACAAAAAATATCTTATAAATACGAATTTAAATATCTTTATTTATATATATATATAAATAAATATGGGATTGAAAACGTCATAATATTGGTGCTATTAACGGAGAAGGAAATAGGGACAGGGATGATGGTGGTAGAAGAGGAAGTGCCAAGGGGTTTGGGGGTTGGTGATGGAGGAAGAGGAGGAGGCTGTGGTGGTTGGGGTTTTGATGGTGGAAGTGGCGATGGGGATGATGGTGGTGGAGAAAGAGGAAGTGGTGTCAGTTAAAAGCCGGATACCAATATACCATAGAGCCAAGTTGGATAACTTTCGTTCTACTCCTGGTTAAATCATTATTAGTATTAGAGATTGCCCTTGATGTAATTAATTTACTACTATTATTACTCCGTTTTATCATTCTCTCTATATATATACACGAAAATAAAAATCCCAAGTGCAAGCTTTTTTTTTTTTTGTATTAATTGTATATATTATCAATAAATTAAATATTATTATTTTATTAATAAATAAATATAAATTTTTAAAATAAATATTAAAAAATTAATATTTTATCAAAAATTTATTCGAAATGACATCATCTTTATTAATAAAATGATATTTATTGATGGTATATGCATTTATATATTAATAAAACATCATATATAAATTTTTTTTTAATCTCAGGCAAGTATTGAGACACTCGAAAGTACTTAGGATTGGAAATATTTCAACTTTCAATCCCTTCAGTGATAATTTTGAAGTTGCTTTTGAGTTAAAAAAACTGTTTTGGAAGGCGTGAAATTGCTTTGTCTTTTGAGTGAAAAATAGCAAATTGACCGTTTGATTAATGAAAATACATTTTCCTTTACTGGTTGTCGCACACTTGACAGTCGACAGTACAGAAAACAAGGCTTTGTTTTGTACAATTGTCGAAGCTTGAAATTCTTATCAGTAACTGAAATTGTAGTTTTGTCTTTGCACTTATCGGGAAAAAGAGACAAAAAGGCAAATGATGAAGCAAACGTGGCAACAGAAATCTTATAGTAGCCGCAACAACTAACTAGAAGAGCCATTCATGAAGCTCTGACTGATGCCTCTTTAAGCAGAAACTTTTCAGCAGGTCGTCCGCAAATCTTGACATAAATTGGAAAAACCAAACGATTTCTGGAGAACTTCTTTGCCAGAAAAATTAGAGTTATAATGTATTTATATCATATAAAATATTTAAAATTTATATATTTATGTTATATTTTATATAAAAATTATGTATTATAATTTATATTAATATGAAAATATAAAATATTTTTTTTATTTTATTAAAGTCTATATATAATTCATACTAAAATTTTAAATCATATTATTTTTATATTATATTTTAAATTATCTATGTAAAAATAATGACGAAAACCTAGAAGAGCATACTTTAGGCCTTTCTATGGTCGCTTTTAATTTCCCTTATGGGTTGCACAAGCACATCTGATAGATGCAAGATACGATTTGGTATGGGCGATGGTCCTAGGGTAGGCGGCAGATAATTGGTTTTGGTGGTGGTGAGCAAGGGATGGGGCTACAGTGGTGGTCGTAGTGGAGAAGGTGGGGGTTATGATGGTGATTGAGGAGGAGGTGGAGGGGGAGCAGGTGCTTGTCAGAAACTGGATTGAGATGGTTTTAACATTTCGGAGAGTTCCATGCTTCCAAAACAATCGCTCGTAAGGCTAAGCACCATTAACTAATGCTACAAATACTAAACACCATACCAAAATTAAAAAGATTATTGATGGCCTTTGCTTTGTGACACGTAAAACAAATAATAGTTGGACTGTTTGAATCCATGACACAACCAGATGCTAACCAAAGTAACTAATATTTCTACTTCAAGGCCTCAGCTTCAGTAAAACACAATTTCTTTCACACACAATGAGAATAGTCCATTTCAAGCAATGCTATGAAGTAAGCAAATCTGCAAAGCAAGTTCGCCAATCGAATAGCTCAAGCCTTGTAAATTAGGTGATGGGCTCCAAAAATCAAAATTACATATGGATAATGTTTTTCTTGTTTCCATTTACACTCATGTACCATAGCTCCGATCTCCTGCATCTCCAAGTCCAGGAATGATAAACCTGAAAGCACCGAAATAACACTGGTCAAACATACAACCCACTCAGAATGTCCATAAGCCAAGTCCTGTGGAATGACAGAGCTTACCCTTTCTCATTGACAGTGGGATCAATAATTCCAGTATACACATGAAGTCTGAAAATCACAAAACCAGCAAAAATTTAAAATGCTATACAACTGCACAAGTTACTATACATGGATTTTATATTTGAACTTTACTTACCCAGGAAATCTCTCGCTGAGCTTTTGAAGAGCTGGAGGAGCTGCCAGAGCAGATATCTGTAATAGAGCAGCTCCATTAATTAGTAAGTTGGCATAAAAAATGTATAATGAAAATGACTGTTTCTGTCTAAGTGAGTTGAAGATAGGAAAATATAAACAAGATAATCACATTTGATCTAGAGTTTTCACGGTCTGCGTTTGCTTGACACATAGGAAATTTAATAGCTGAGGCTCGACCATTAAGAGGGGTCAACCTATGACAATTTTATGGAGGGGGTATGTAAAAACTTCCAAGAAAGGCATGGTCTTCTATTTATTTATGTTGACACAAGAACATTAGAACAATAGAATAATCTATTAACGGCAGTTCAGCCTGATGCAATAAGATTTGATATCATAAAACAAATGCATTAGTAACAAAGTAGGAATGCAGTAATTAACTACGTATCTGATAAACTGAAATCTTTAACACAGCACAAGCATTCCAACTGCTAAAATATAAATTCACTGAGAACAGAAAAGATTCTTCCAAATTATTTACCACTTTCATTTGCTTGTTGTTAATTCCACGTTCCCTTAAGAGGTCAAGTGCTGCCACAATTGTGCCGCCTGAAATTTTTAACAAGACAATTAGCAAAAAGTTTGCAACAGAATGAGCCTCAGTCTCAGGAAAAACAGTCACTTAAAACACAATGCATAGAAATGTAAATGCACTGCTACAAGGATAATAGTTATATAATCTTCATTTTGAATGCAAAATTAATGATTTTCTTCACTTTGATAGCTGAAAAAAGAGGGAACAATGCCAGAAAGCTTTTTAGTTATATAGGATGGGATTTCCAGCTGTTTATTGAAGATTAGTACCTGTTGCCAGCATAGGATCTACCACAAAAACTCGAGATCCTTCAGGAAATTTGTCAGGCAGCCTGCACAGGACATTAACATAAGTTACACGAACACCCTAACATAAAATGTAAACAGCCCATAATGAGACCCAACTAAAAATTAAGCCCGCACTAAAGCAAAGCAAAAGGATGAAATGAAGCTGACCAAACTAGAATGTTGCAGTTCTAAAAAGGTTTTTCTTAAAACGAAACGATACTTCAACTGTAAGGCAAAGTTCCAATTAATCATGCTTTGAAAACGCTATAAGGTAGGAAACACATAAAACCAAGAGAAGTGAAGTAAATTCTTACTTATTTAGATAAACTGTTGGCAAAAGTGTCTCTTCATCTCTGCTTACCCCTTCATTCACAAAACCATTAATAATCATCAACAAGTAAACTGGTTGGCAGCATAAAGAACATGAAGTGCTGATAGCTAGTCTTGAAGAACAAGTAGGAATCAAAAGCCTAAATAAAGAACCCTTTGAAATTTGAAACACATGAACTATAGCAATTTTTGTGGGTTGGGATGTGGAGTGGAAAAATTGTAAAGATTTGCGTCAACTTTACCTAAATGGTACGTTTTCGTAGCTGGCAAAATGGATGACGCGTGTTCAGCCAGAGCAAGACCAGCTCTCAAGATTGGAACAATCTGAGAAAACAAAAGAATAAAGTATTAGTTATTGGCTCAAAATAAACTTTTGCTCATCCAACAGAGACATCAGGAATATAATAGCCAGAAGTAGAAACTAACCGCTATAGGTTCCCTTGGATCGATAAATTCAACTGAAGCAATAGCCATTGGTGATTGAATCTCTCCTGTTACAGTAGGCTGCCAGCAGTAAACCCCAAGATATATAAGTTCCATATAGAAAAATACATCCTTGATGCCAATACAATTTAGCAGGAAAAGAAGACAAATATAAAATTTTCCCAAAACAAGAAAAGTTAAGACGTGGAATATTTTGATTGAAAAAAAAAAAGGCATGCACAATGTAATAACTTACCAACCAATCCCTTGAAGCTTCATACATAAGTAGCCTCCCCAATTCAGCCATAGCATTTCCTGAAAACCAGAAAGAACAAAAAAAAAAAAAAATTTGATATCTTATCCTAATCCAATACAGGCTTATCATCCTATACTTTAAAAGAAAAAGATTCTGCAACTGACCCAGATAAGTAAAAGCTAAAGAAAATCTAAACTGATGCTAAATTCGAAGAAAACTCACTGAAAATGGAGCAAGGAGTTTGCTCATTTCTCAAAACCGAAATCCAGTGCTTAATCAAAGGATGTGGAGGCACAAACACCTTAAAAAACATAAAATATAAATCAACCCAAACTCAAAAACAAAGAAATTACGCCGTTTCAGCCAAACAAAAAACAAAAAGAGAAGAAGAGAACTGACAAGCATTCTATCCTCTGAAATAGACTTTTCCTCGGTGGCCATATGAGAATTCACCGTCACAAAGCCCATTCGCCGCCTCCGCAGCCACCGAGAAGTCGAAAAAGAAAGCTTTTAAGAAAGGAAAAGGGAAGATTAGTCGAGTTTAATGAATAAAATACGTTTTTTATTGTTAAGTTACAAGAATATTAAAAAACAAAAAAAGGGTGGGGGAGGGAGAGATTACCTTAATGGGATTGTTGGTGTTAGGTTTAAAAGGAGGAAGGAGAAGAGTAGGGTTTTTGAAGGGGTGGGATGTGGGCACGAAACGCGGCGTATCGGAAGAAGAACACCGGAGACTAAAATTAATGCGGCACGCCATGCATCCGATGATATCGATCTACCAATTGCAAAATACTACTACTACTAGTTTACTCCCAGTTGGAATTTCTTTTTCGTTTTGCCTTTTGCGAGCGATAAGACTTTTTTTTATTTGTTTCTCCCTTTTGGATCATATTTTTGGGTCCAGTTTGGACCATTACTGCCCATCATAGCAGACTTCGGGTCTCAAAACTCAAGTAGATTTGAGTTCTGTTTTGGGGTTTTAGGTTGATTTTAGCCCCAATGGGCTTGTCTCTTCTTTGATTGGTTCATTGCCTCTTTTTGCATTGCATGAACTATTCCCCCTTTTCCAATCAGGACACCGTCTGCGGGAAACTACACGGTTTGGTGAGAAACTTCATCTGGAAAAAAAAAAAATTTACATGTGAAATCAGGACTTGGTGAAGATCTTTCTCTATTCCAAAATCATTGTTCATTAGTAGATAAAAAAAAAAAAAAAACTATTTTGAAGTTCTGAAATCCAATTTTTGAATCAATAATTTTGTTACGAACAAGGAAATATGTGATTTCTTGTTAAAATGTTTGATTTTTAATAATTAAAGTTAAATCTTTAACAATTTCAAAAAAAAAAAGCTAGTCACAAAATTATATTTATGTACTTGTGTTTGCTTAATTTTTGAGTTTGAAATGCACTTCATGGTAGCATAGTTGCTCTGTTTTATGAGTCCTTCTGTGCATATCTATACTACTATAAATAAAAAGGATCCTTCGAGGATTTTGGGGTTGACAAATGTTTTTTTGTATAGCATTTTGGTAAAATAATTTAATATTATATAATAGGAAAACGAAATAGTGAAAAGTAGTCACAAACTCGCAAAAGACTTATTTTTTTGAAAAAAAACTCAATTCGATTACCCGTTAATAGCAAAAAAGTTCTTCGTATACTCGATAAATTAATCTCAATATTCGAAAATTTTAAATTTACAAAATTATATTTATTATTATACTCCAGATTAAGAATTTTTTTCGATAAAAGCTATTCGAAACTTTTCTAATTAGTATTTATTCAATGAACCAGTAACTGCTAATTTAAAATTTACAAAAGTTTAAAAAGTTGAAAGAAAGGAAGGCTAAAAAATTATTAAAAGGTCAAGTCAATATCATCGTCAATGTCAATGTTAAAAGAGCTTAAACCCATTCAAAGCAAATATGTTGCCATCCCTAAATGGAGGGTTCCACTTGACATTTCCATTTAACTCCTTGTTTTATTTTATTTTTTTGCTTTGACCTTTTTTCTTTTTTTTTTTTTTTTTTTAGTCTTATTGGTTTAATTGCCTATTTTAGTATTCTTAATTATGTTTGGAAAGATCAATGGTTAATGAAGGCGTTAACTTGAAATCTCATATTTGACTTTCATTTTTTTTTGTTTATTTTTTAGCTATTATCTTTTTTTAATTAGATAAATATTGTAAGAAAATTGATCACTGGAGTTAGAGATAGCAAAAAAATTAAATTTTACGAGATTCGACCCGCCTTGATCTAATAAGGGTGGGTTTTTGTTTTGAAAAATGGGATCGAGTCAAGGTTGAGGCTTTTTTTTTTTATGAAATCGAAGTTGGATTGAAGGTAGGTTTAGAGTTCTCTACCCTAACCTTTCTTGGGATATATATAAAAATATATTATATTATTATTTAATTTTATATTTATATATTATATAATAAAATTATTATTTAATATCTAAATTTAATAAAATTATTACATTTATTATAATTAAAATTTAATTTATATTAAAAAAATAATAACCATGATATAAATTTTGCAAGAAAACTTATCATTGTTAGTGCCACGTGCCAACTCAACTTTATTATTTATTTATTTATTTGTTTTTTGTTTTTTATTTTTGTTTTTAGATGTTTTTTATTTTTTTTAATTAGATAAATTTTGCAAAGAAAAAAGCTAATGGAAGTGTCTACATGTCACTCCACTATAATTTTTTACTTTCATCTTTTTTTTTTTTTTGTATTTTTAAATTAGATAAATTTTACCACAAAAGGAGTTAGTAAATAAGGATGACAAAATTATCTATATTTGACGAGTTTTGATTTGCCTAGATCTGACAAGGGGCGATATTTTTAAAATCAAAATAAAGCTGAGGTGGATTTTTTTTTTTAAGAAAACAAAATTGGGTCGAAAACGGGTTTAGGGTATTTGACCCCGATTCACATCAAAGTGTATATTAAAACTATATATTTTATTATTTATTTAATTTTATATTTATATAAATATATTAATAAAATTATTATTTGATACCTTAATTTAAAATATTAACTTAATAAAATACTACATTATTTTATATGGTTATACCTTAATGTTCAAGCTTATTGATACATATAGTTTTGGCGTTATCATCTTTTAAAAGATTATAGTTTCTTTAGAGTCTATTTAAATAAACGATGAAATTCAAAACAATGGTAAATGTGAAATTAGTTATTTTAATAAATTAAAATCAATAATAAAATATGTATTTAGATATAAAAATAACAATGACAGTGAAATAAACTATAATGAGAATAGAAAATTATTATTAATGACATTATTAGAATAAAATTTGTATGTAATAAATAATTATTAAATTATTTTAAATAATAGTTTTATGAAAAAATTATTAAAAAGTGACAATAAAAAATTAAAACAAAATTTATTTATTTATTAGTTTACTATATAATAATAAATTTTTTTATCAATTTATTATGTAATAAAAAATAAAATGAATTAAGAAAAAAAAAAAGAGTTAAGACATTTTTGGGTTAACATTAAAATTTTTGGGAAAAAAATAAAAAAAGTCGTGGTGCGACTGACTACTGGACCTTTTATGTCTGGTGAGCAATCGCCACTTGCCTCACTGCACTGGAGATTTGTTTGGGTCTCAAACGATTAGTGGGCACAAAATTTGATTGCAATTGTATCTGGTGTGATTAAATCCAAACCAAATTTTAGTGTAGCTAATTATATTTTGAATTCATTTCCTACCAATTAATATGTATTTTAGATAGCATGATTGATGTTTTGAATTTCAAACTTGACTTTTTATTTTTTTTGCCTTTGTTCATTTTTTTAGTTTTTTTTTTTATTTAGATAAATTTTAAAATTAAAAAAACAAGTTGAGATGTCCACGTGACATTATCATTTGGATTTTTTTATTTGTTTAACTTAAATCTTCATAAACATTATTGTCCATACATAAAATAAAAAAATTAAATCCACAAAGCACGGACATACTTCTAGTTTGTTGAAAATATTGGATCCAAGAACTCGCTGAAGGGCCGATCCTCCACAAGAATTAAGCCAATTGGCAGTGCCAAACTATGATTTAAGGTGTATTTTGTGTCCTTTCATGCTTTACTGTGTTTGACACGATTCCTTGCGGTATTAGTCCTTATCCAGGTACTGTGTTTCTCTATCCTTAATAATTGTTTACTAGAGATACCAGTTGCCTGTCTTGCTTTGTTTCTTCATCAGTGAGATGAGCCTGCTCAAATTAACCCAAAACATATATTTCCTCAAATCAATACCTTGTCTTTCCTTGCAAAACTGTTTAAACTACTAATGTTTAGGTTCACTCCTCGAATTAAATCAACAAGCAACGGAAATTTAGTTAAATGCATGCTTTCAACGATAATTATAAACCATATATGAAACAGGTAATCACAATTACACATTAAGTTACAAATCTCCAACAACTGTGAATCAACACCGTGATGGAATCAAACATCCGAAATATTAAAGAAAAGGAAGGGTGTACAAGGGAGAAATGGTTTGGCAAAAGAGCCAGAAAATTATTGTCTTTTGACAAGTACAAACTACAACACCAAGTGCCTGAAATTGCTCTTAACAAACAGTAGGTGGCAGATTACTGTATTTTTTTCCCTTTTCTTTTTGTAATTTTATAATGATATTTTACGTTGAATCATGCTTTGGGTGACTTTTGATTATTGCTTGTCGTAAAAGTATAAAGTTGAATTTTTTAAAGTTAAATAATTTGATGAAATGGCGTATTGTTGGTTTCGAGCACACGAACAATTCATTCTAAATTACCCCCTTTGTAGTCGGATGGAACAGGAATCAAATGGAAATCTGTCATTTCCTTTGCAAACGACAAAATCCAAACACGACATGTGAATCTAGATCTGCCATGACATTTAAATTATTGACAAAACACTTGTCCTAGAAAAGATTTGTTTTTGCCCGAAAACTTTCTGCTGGGGAAACCCGGGATTGTTCCTGAGCAAACTTTCAGCTTTTGGAAGGCACAGACAATGACCCCTGATCACCAGTTGGCTGTGAAAGTGGAATATTCGTGGCGTGCATTCGCCCCCTGAAAGCAGAAAAGAAATGTCCAAGAGAGCCGTGAAAGATTTTAAAAGAGCAGCCCAAACCGCTAATCCTCACGACTTCCTGGTACTAAAAGTCGTTCATTGAATTTACTGGCAATCATGTTTTGTCGTCCACGAGAGTATCATGGAGTACGTGGCCATTGCTCTTATTGGAGGGTATAAATGTCAAAGCAAATAAGGCTGATTTTTGAATTCTGCGTTTTCGAGTCGCCCCACCAACAAACTGACAAAAGAAAAAAAAGGCTAATCAACATAGAAAAAATAAACGTGTTTCGATGTGACATGTCCATTCGATAGAATTTAACGAAGATTTCTTAATCAATGTGAGGCGCTTTGCTGTTAAGATTAGCTATAAGCAAATACAAAGTTTCTCTTTAAGCCCGGATTTCATTTCCCCAAGATCAGTTTTTTTTTTTTTTTTTATGGATTTTAGTTTTTATAAGTTGCTCAATTTTATTTTAAAATAAAAATTAAGTAAATAGTAATTTGGGTAATTGGATTTTATTGTCAAAACTAAAAGATAACATATTTTCAAAATTTATTCTTATTTGAGATATATCTGATAAGATCATATATATTCCTTATAAAATATGAGTAATTATCATGTATTCAAACTTGCAAATATCTTTTTATTTTTAATTTTCGTATAAATAATCATGAATGGCAAGAGAAACTGAGAAAATATAGAGAATTAGACATGTTTTACACCCTCAGTCCCTCACTTTAGAAAGAGAAAGCCAGAAAGGGTT